TATGTGGTGCTGAGGATTGAACCCGGGCCGCACGCATGCCAGGCGAGCGCGCTACCGCTTGAGCCACATCCCCAGCCCCCCCGGGCACAGGATTTTAATTACTGTTTTTTAAAAGCTCATCTCTGCTCCTCATAGCCCCTTGCTCACGGTTGTACTAAGAGACCTGTCTGCTTTGCCACTCTTCTGCCATTGCTCCTACTGTCCATAGTTTTAAAGTATAATGCACAGGCCACTTTTTGTCCTGGAAAATGTTCCTAGTTAACAGTTCCGCCAATCACATATGTTTCCATGTTATTCCCTGCATTTGGGGAGCAACTGGAAGTAGGCATGTAGAGAGGTAAGTCACTTCGAGCATGTTACGCTGTCGACTCGGAGTTCCATGATGGTGATGATGCCTTCCCTTGCAATTAAAAAGAACACCAGAATAACTTCTCCCTGGTCCTCAGCCTGTGCATCCTCAGGCCAGGGCTCGGCAGGCTTTGAGAATGCCTCCTACCCCATTTCACTACATAATCATTGCAGAATTTATGCTTCTTGTATGTTTGTTTTGCAAAAAAGCGGGGCGCAACCATTTTGTGAAGCTTTTTTTTTTTTATTGTGCCGGTGTTACTTAAAAATAAGTTATTACTAAATTTTTTTTTATGTAAGATTAGGATGCACAGAATACTGGAGAATATATGTCAATGCTGTGAAATGCAGTACTTCTCCCATTCTCTAGGAGGGAGCCCTCCAATGTAAAATCTGAATTTAGTCTTATTTGCTTAATCTAGACTTAATTATGAAACTCATAACTCCCAGAAAGTATTCTAGAACCAGAACCAAATGACAGCTGAAACGTCTATTCTTTGGAGTTACCCAGGCAAGTTTCTCCTCCATTGTCATGGATGATAGAAAATAAATCGTTCTGTGACAAAAATTGAAAATTGCTTCCCCAAGCGTTTGTCTAGAGTGCCTGCTCCTAAGTGACTCCTTTGTGCCATGGTCCCCGTTGTCRGGGGGCCTGAGAGTCAGACCAGCCAGGTCCTGGGGTGCGGCAGGGAGCAACTCCTGGGCTGGGTGGTCCTGCGGCCTTGCTGTCCAAGGGCCGCACAGTGGTGTCCTGAGGAGCTGAACAGAATAGTTTGAACTATCATCTTACTGTTCTTCAATTCATTGCTGCTGTTTTCTCTCTCCCCTTCCCCTTTCATCCTTCTTTCCTTTTTGGTGTTAGGTTTATTTTGTTCCCTTGGATTGGCCTGATTAAGGGGCTCCTTCTTATATAATAGCTGTTTACTTTCATCTTTTAAACACAAGGAAGCCAGTAAGGGCAAAAATCAAAAGTTAGATAAGGAAAAACCTCTGGAGATCTTAAAAAAAAAAAAGAAAGAAAAGAAAAGAAAGAAAGGATTCTTTTCCATGTTTTAAAAATTGTGACCTCAAGTCAGAAGACGGGGAGTGTTATGAACCATAAGGTGGAATTAAATGGTGTCTTGAAAAGAAAATGGTCTTTGCAGACAGGCAACCTGGGTTGAAGCCTTGCTTCTCTACTTTCTGGTAGCTACTGTGGGCACCTAACCTCCGTGGGCCTCAGATTCTCACCCATGAAGTGGGAGCAATGTGCTCACTTTRTATCACCGGTCGAATCCTAGCACAAAAATCTGCCCCTCTATCTAAGAAGCTGTGAAAGGGACTTAAGTTTAGGGCCACCTCTGTGAAGTCTTAAAGGAAGTGGGCATTAACCCTCTCAAGGGGAGACATGCTGCCACGTAGCAAGCAGCTGAGGAGAACCAGGGAAGGCAGACCTCAAGTGTGGCTAAAAGACATCCGTTAATCCTGCTGAGCACACGTTGACCACAGGCCAGATGGGAATGGGCCAGCTGAGCATTCTCTCTTCACCATGCACACCAAACAACAGCTGGGCTTGGTGTGAGGACAGAGCACAGGGACCAGCATGAGCAAAAGCTGGGCACGCATCCATCCTTCTAGAACTTTCTACAATAATCACACCCTTGCAAGAATTGTCTGGTTTTTATCTCATCTACTTTTTTAAAAAATTATATATATATTTTAGTTATACATGAACACAATGTCTTTATTTTGTTTATTTATTTTTATGTGGTGCTGAGGATGGAACCYAGTGCCTCACATGTGCGAGGTAAGCGCTCTGTCACTGAGCACAACCCCAGCCCCTGTCATCCACCTTTTAAGTGGACAAAACTACAAAGACCCTAGTATCACTAGGAGATTTCCAAGTTGCTCCAGACAGACAGTTGATGGTCAACCCTGAGGAGAAGCTCGACCTGACTCCCTGTGCTTCCCATCAATCCTGGGAAGTAAGGATTGGAGTGAGTCCTTAAATCAGGGATTTCTTTTGACTAAAATATATGTTTTAAGTATTAGAAAGTTGGAACAATGATTCTCACTGGAAATGAAGATAAAAAAGATATCTAGCCCTTAAGATTGAATAGCTTTTTGGGATAGATCAATTTTAAAACCTCCTTTTCATCTGTTAATCTGTAATGGTAGAAGAAAGTTATTTTGGACTTTCTTTTCTATTTTTAAGGTTGTTTTTCAGTATCTGAAGCACTCTATTGAGGTCATGTTGTTGCATATAATTTAATTTTTCAAATTACTGCTCTTCAAAAAATCCTATAAAATATCAGCCAAGAGTCATGGATATTTTGTGACTTCTAGAAAAGCCATGTGCTTTACTGTCACCAAAAGTTTGCTTCCTTCACCAATCAGTAAGTCTTCCTTGGGAAACACATATGGATAAAATAARATTTCTGTACTTTTATCAATATGATGCAATCTGTATGCATGCTTTTTAGGAAGGCGGCTGCATATATAAACCAAAAACTAACATAGCGAGTTTCTTCCCTTCCAATGTTGTTCTGGTGGAAGCTGGCCTCAGTTATCAGTACCTCTCAAGTCAGTTTTTTTTTTTTTTTTTTGGTAGTTACAAATTGATATCATGCCTTTATTTTATTTACTTATTTTTATATGATGCTAAGGATCAAACTCAGTGCCTCACACATGCTGGCCAAGTGCTCTGCTGCTGACCTGCAGCCGCAGCCCTTCTCAATCTTTGAGGTAGTTTACCCCTTCAGAAAATTTGGGGCTGTTTGAATCAACTAGTTGTTCAATAGTTGAATGCCTAGATTTTTCTTTCTCCTAGCACGATCCACAAACATTTTCTGTTTTTATGTGGACACCCTTGGTGTGTGCCAGACACTATTTTGCATTTTATTCATTTTGCATTTTATTTAGACAAGCAAATATGTCTAAGGTCACACAGCTAAAAGAATCAGTCTAGTGACAGGTCTCTGAGGACTTCCTCCAGTGGTCTTACACGTGAAGGACAGATTCTTCCTGTCCTGTTCCAGCTACTCAATGTTCTGGCGTTTTCTCARTGGTGCTCTAAAGTATTCTGGTTTTATTCAGAGATACATTCTGCCAAAATAGGATTAGATAATTTATTGGGTTTAGGAAATTGTGGTTTAAGCAAAATAAAAGAGATTACTCTGTGCTCTGAGGAGGTGGCTTGTCTTGGGGTGTGTGGGGCGGAGGACCTGCAGATCCCCTGTGTACATGGTGCCCAACACCCTCATGAAGACAGTCTTCTAACACGGCACGAGTAAAAGAAACCTCACACCACTGTCCCCGAACATCAGCAAGGATGGTGAGAGTGGAAAGCAGCTCACAGTCAGACCATGGAGTGCAGCTGTGTGATAAGATATTTATCCCAGGCAGGGCTTCTGTTTCTTGAAACAACCCTTCATGCCTCTGTCACAGGAAGGCATAGATCCCAGGCTCTTACATTTCCATTCTGGGCCACGGCTACCCATTTCAGATGACCCCAGCACCTCTGTACCTCTTACAAGTGAAATTCATTAATGTACTGTCTGAAAGTGTGAAGGTAACAGTTGTGTTAACATTTAAACTGTCCCTCTCTCAAGACCTTGCAAGAAGTACTTACCATGGCTTCCTTTCATTCTGTTACAGGAGAAACCACAGGTCAGACACCTATGAACATCAACCCGCAACAGACCCGATTCCCTGATTTCCTTGACTGTCTTCCGGGAACCAATGTTGACCTAGGAACGCTGGAGTCTGAAGATCTGATCCCCCTCTTCAATGATGTAGAGTCGGCTCTGAACAAAAGTGAGCCCTTTCTAACCTGGCTGTAATGGCTACCATTTTGTCACTGGGGTGCAGCGCAACCTGACATTTCCTAGGCCTCTTGGAGAAAGCGACAGTGCACGGCTTTCTGCCTCTGTGACTCCTTTTCCTTCCTGTCCATGTGGCCAGTTTCATCAATGCCTGGTTTCGATTGACAGTAACTTAAGTTAAACATGAATAAATGTTCTATCTTTATTTTCTGCAAGCCTGCATWTCTGAGACAGATGATGCAGAATTGTGCCTAGAGAATTGGTTATGCAGAATTACTTCTCTTCATTCTCTGCTGCCCCATGGCTAAGCTTTATGTGTATTAGTTGAAATTTATGCATAAATTGATTATAAACTATAGAAAGCTGATCACAGCCAGTGAATTCAGATGGGCAGCTTGGTCCRGGAAATGTGCACAAAATTTGACCTGATTTACGTCTCTAAAGCCGAGTGTATTACAGTAGTACCAAGTGCTTTAAACCTACTCARTAAGTTTTACAACATTGTTGTATGGGTAGCAAAATCCTGCTCTATGGAATGCAGCATAGTTTTGAATCCATGCTGGCTCTGACAGCCTCTGAAAGAGGGACACATAGTTCTATTGGAGTGTCTCTTTGGTCCTCTGCTGCATAGTAGCTGTACAACCTGGCCCTCCCAGCAGGAGGGTAGCAGCAGCATCAGCCATAGGCTTATACTAGAGACCTGTGAAAGAGACCAATTTCAGACTAAAATGAGCATTTATTAAATAAAACTTTTTTTATATTGCAACTTAGATTTCTAAAAAAAAATGCAGCTCAGAATTCAATGTTTATTTTATAAAACACTGTAATTTTGTAGCTGACAACAAAGACCAGCTAGATGTTTTTGATAAATCAGTGGCAACTGTATTTTTGTCTTTTGAAACTATTCTGAAACATCAGGACAACATAGATTCAACCTGATAGTACACGCAGTGAGCTGTTGCTTTTTAAATTGTGAAGCTTTGTCAGTTTTGTTTTAAAAATTTCTAATGTTTTAAATAATCACATCTATGAAACTGAAGGATGAAGCAGATCTCTGACTGACGTTTAAAAAGTCGCCCTCCAAGGGTGTAGTGGAGACATGTTTCTGAATGCAGGAAAATTGGTTCCTATGTATATTATCCTAACTCTGTTGCTACAGTTGGTCTAAAAAGGCATGAGCTATATACTCAATACCTCTTATAAAAACAAGAATCTCTCCTCATTAGCCTTCAAGGACTGAGAGTGGCATGTTCGCCTGGCACAAAGCCCCCTGCCTTGCCAATGAAGTCCTCGACTGTTAATGTTTTGAACTGACATTATTTATACTCTATGAATTTAATCTCTTTTTTCAAAGACATTAATAATTCAGGTCTCTAAAAGGAAACATTCAGTTCCCATGGGGGCTTATTTGTTGGGGATCTTAAATGAGATCCTTTTTGATCTACCAGAATAGAGATGCACAGAATATACTTGATCTAGCTGGAAAGAAGGCAAGTGAAAAGGTCAGAGATGAAGTGGTAAATTGAATGGCGCGTAGTGGAAAGGACACTAGTGTGACATGGAGACAGACAAGGCATAGTCCCTGAAGGTAGGACAGGCAAGTGTGAGAGGTGCCCCCACAGAGCAGAGCAGCAGCCTTCTGCCACAGGCTTTGTGCTAGGAGACTGTGGTAGAAGAAAAGAGGGCTTTGGTGCACTTTATGGGAGTTGGGGGCCAGCCCTGTGGCACTGTCCCCAGGGCACTGAGCAGTAGGCAGACATACGCAGGGACGGCTGTTGCCTGCGGCACTGACTGCCTGAGGTCAGGGGCTTTTGTTCCACTGATTCCTTTTGCTCTCTCTAAGCAGAGAGAGGTAAGGAAGGTGTTTGTGTTGCTACTAAATTGAAAGGGAACACTCTTTATTTTCCTCTTTTGTTAGCAAAAATTGCAAAAAGAGTTGTACATTCTTTCTAAGAAAAAACAAATAGAAGGGACCTAACAGAACTCAGCAGTGTTACTGTACTTTTAAAAGATATTTTTATAGACTCATTTTCAGGTTATTAAATGTAAAAGATACAGATACCCTCTTTTTTTTWWWAAAAAAAAAAGCAGTTAATCATTGATGATTTACATTACCACCTTTTAGGAGTAATTTTCTAGTAAGCTTGTGCCATTAGAAAATACTAGGATCATTTTTTTTAGTGAAATTAGTTGGAACATTTATCAATGAATATAATAAATATTTTTCAGAGTAAACTAGGGACCTTATTTGTTTACTAATAGATAAAGCCAGGTATAATTTCTTGTTGTTTTTAAGGCCATTAAATATGGTCTCATTAAAGAACATTAAGGCTAAAAATCTTAAGTAAGAGCTTTTTTTGGGGGGGGGGTGGGCGGGGGGTGCTGGGATTCAAACCAGTGTGCCAGGCTGGGCTCCATGGAGCTGCACCCACAGCCTGTCAGAGCAACTTTCTGATGGCTGTTTCTCTTATTTTAAGTGTTAAAACCCCTCAGAAATCATGATAAGGTGCTATTTATATTTCTTTTTATTAAGACAGCTGCCAGGATATCTAGTATTTTTCATTCAAAACCAGTCATTAAATTTCACCATCTCATCCCAAAATCTTGTTAGAGAAAAGCCGTATTTCAAAAGTGAAATTGAAAAGTAATTTCAGAGATTTTTTATTCAATATTTTTTTTCTGATAAAATACATTTTCTTTTGAAGCAAATAAATTGTCAAAATTTATTTGTCATTTTTTTAAATCTAAGTAATTAGTAGACAGTGTTTCACATTAGTACTTAGGATATAAACCGCCATTTCTTTCACTGAGCACACAATACACAGGAAGGTGTGAAACAGAGTGGAGTATTCTGTGTGCTGGTAGCTGTGGCCCCCACCTGGTGGAAAAGCTCTCTGCAGAAGAAGGTGGAGCGACAGACTTGCTGAGTACAAGTCACATTCTCACTCTGTAATGAGAAAGGAACTTCTGGAAGTACAGCCAACTTCTGTGAAAAAAATAAGCTGTTAAAAAAGAAAGAAAGAAAGAAAGAAATTGTGGACTAATTTAATTGGAAAAATGGGTGATTTGACAGAGACTGTTTCCCCAACACTACATCATTTGTGCTAGTACTTTAAATTTTTAAAAATTTTACTTCTACATTTTGTAATATGACATGTGTGTTTATTTTTAATTTAGAATGTTATGCATAAAAAAAGTATGCAGCCAAATCAATCAGATCAAACCCTTTTACCTGGAGTTTGGTACTGATTTTTACTTCTTTGATTCTGTATAAGAAAAATAAATACAATTGAGTTTCCACTTGGAGTCTTTGTCTTATTATTCATGTATGTTCTTCATACCGATCGTTTTGGGTGGAACAGAATGGAGAGACTTTTATGTAACCTCTTGGCGGACAACAAAGGAAGGAAAATTCTGTAGGAAGATGCTTTTTTTGGCTCCCATGACTGAACTTCAATACTCTAGATGTCGACAGAATTCTAATTTCCACTTTATTTGAAGTAGCCCCCTGAGATTTTTTTTTAAAAAAATGGTACCAGTAATTGAACCCAGGGGCATTTAACCACTGAGCCACATCTCCAGCCCTTAAAAAAAAAAAAAATATATATATATATATATATATATATATATATTTATATATATATATGGTAAATAAATATATATTATTTAGGGACAGGTCCCACTAAGTTGTTGGGGCTGGCATTGAACTTAGAATCCTGCCTTAGCCTCCCCAGCCATTGGGATTACAGGCATGTGCCACCACTCTGTGCCTCCCCATCCCCCGCCCCCAGGTTTTTTAAAGGTATGTATTTCTTTAAAAAGCCATGCCGTCCTGCCAACAACCTCACAGAGGTAACAAGTCATCAGAATTACAGGATTCTTATTCTTGCCTGTTATTAACCATATGATTTAGCTTTTTGTTGTTGCTCTCAAAACTAAAACCAGAGACTCAGGAGTCTGAGGCAGGAGGACTGCAGGTTTGAGGCCAGACTCAGCAACATAGTGAGACTCTAAGCAACCTAGTGAGACCCTGTCTCAAAACAAAAAATAAAAAAGTGCTGGGGACGTGGCTCAGTGGTAAGGTGCCCTAGATTAGATCCCTAGTACTAAAACAAACAAAAAGCCTAAAATCAGAATAGCTGCTCATCATTCATGCTTGGGACAGTGCTCTCTGTCCTTAAAGTTCCTTTGGATCCCACTGTCCCATACTTGTGTCCACTGGGTGGATGGGTCACGTGAGAGCACTGTTTGGCAGGAGCCTCAGAGGAACCTGGAAGGAGGTACCAGGGGAAGTGGCTTCTCAACCTCCCAGGATCTGTGTCATCATTTGTAGGTGTTAAGTGTTCAGGGTTGAAAATGTTAAGCATCAACATGTCAAATAAAAAACTTCTATATCCTCTCAAATCTCAGATTTACAAAATATATATTTATTTTCCCCTATAAGTTAGATATTTTAAATCATAAAAGCAGTACCTGCTATTTTGACACTTTCACTTTTTTTCTCTTAACAATAACTGATMTCACCAATACTTGTTGAACATTATGTCCTAAATGCTGTGCAAAACACCTGATAAGCATCATCTAATCTGTACAGCAATATCATTTCAATATACTGGCCTCAATTCCCAGATAGGGACATTGAGGTGTAGAGAAGTCAAATAATTCACACAGGGTCGCCCAGTAAGCAACAGATACATCAATGGGCATCTCTCTGAAGCCAGATCCTTGTCCCAGAGCTGTGGAGGGAAGGGCTGGTGGTGAGCACAGCGTCCACCTAGCGCACTGCAGCCRGGAACCCCCACTCCCTGCCTGAACCACCCAGCCTCAACCACCCCTTCCAGACCAATAGGGGAAGGTTGAAGTGGGGCAGACCTGAATAGGCTTGCAGGGCTAGTCAGTGGTGATGGTGACTTTCCCAGACACTGAAAAGCATTCATTTGGATCAGCAGCATTGACCCAAGCATGTATGAAACCCTAAACCAACCCACTCCAGTGGCGCCCCTCGGATTCTTTCTCTCCGGAAGATTTCTGTTTCCAGTCACAGTTAAGTATTCCTATTGTTACACTCACCCATGCTCCTCTGTGGATTTCATTCTTCAAATTTGTAGGACAAAATYCAGAAAGAAGAAATCTGTGGTGAGCTGCTGAGGTCTGCAGCCCGCCCTAGAGCGGGGGTCTGCAGTCCATGCAGGTCCCGCCCTCCAGCAGAGGCTTCATTTCTGCCAGTTCATGTTTGTTTTCCCCCTGTTACTTTAAACAGCTGATAATGCTCTTCTGTATGGATGTACGCTGTTGGTTTTTGTCTCTGTGAGTAGTGCTGCTGTGCACTGCCCACTTTTGTGGACCACAGGTAGAGGATAAATTCCTAGGAAAGGAATCGCTGCCTCAAAAGGTACATGATTTTAAATCTAGAGAGATTCCATTGCAGAGGGRCCTGCTCTTCCAGCATGGATTTTGGGGAGTTTGAGGGTGGGGAGAAACCTCTCCTAGATGTTTCAGAGAATGGCTCTGTTTTATTGCGCAGCAAAAATAGTTTTAATAGTGGGTATGTGCCAATTTACATGTGACAGTCATGATAAGCCAGAGGTGGTACCTAAGATATTATTTTACAGGAGTCCAGACACCAGGAGTCTAGAAACTGCCACACAGGCCGACCTTGTATCAACAGGGGAATAACTTGCTGTCAAAGGAGCAAGGAAATTGCACTTGCCAGTGTTCTAACAGCACTTTGTCCCCAAACAGCGTTCTGTGTTAAGACTTCCCTGCACAATGAGCAAGATAAGCATCCCTCCATGTAGGTACAGAGTCAGGTTCACCAACATTCTATCAAATATTTTCCCCCAAAAGAATGGTACCAATTTATATTCCCAGCAAGAGTGTTTGCAGAAGCCTGTGTCACTACTGCAGCTAGAGTCAGGTGTTGCCTGTCCTTTGCATCTACAAAATGTCTTGCTCTTGCAGGTTGTTTCTTGAATTAATCATGAAGTTGAGTTTGTGTTGCCGTTAGTGGATGCCATTGGTTCTCCGAGGTCACCTCAGATTCCTGTTTGGCCATTTTCCAAGCACTTCACCCCCCACCCACCCCAGGTGTTTTCAATACTTCACCCCTGCAGCTCTTAAAAGGGTGCCAGAATCCACTTGCTCACACACACTAGAAATGTCAGGAGTGTCCATCCTCCAGCATGGCCCTCAGCCATGGACTGGCAACTGTGGCCTCTAACCTCCCCTCCAGATTTCCAAGGGATCATGCAGAGCCGGCCTGTGCTACGACTCCAGTGCACTCTTGCTTTTACTCCCCCCCCCCCCGCCTTTTTTTCCTGCTTCATGTATTCTCACCAGTTTCCCTACAAAAACACACTTCTGTAACAAGTCCTTTTTCTAATTCTTTTTTAAATAAATCACTTCTACACAGTTCCCTGAATCAGGGCTTGCTTCTAGGAACTAAACTTAATATTCAGGCTATAAAATGAACTCACAAATCAGTAAGAAAAACAGCCCGAAAGAAATATGARCCAACAATAGAAATATATAGAAGATGAAACTGGGTAGCAATTGATTTGTGACATTATTACTGATAAAAAATTTAGATATTAAAGACATACCATTTTACTTCTTGCAAACCAAAATTTAAAAGACTGGCAAGCTAGTACTTTGGGGCCCCTCTTGCAATCCCAGCAACTTGGGAGGCTGAGGCAGAAGGTTCAAGRGTTTAAAAMCAGCCTCAGCAACTAAGTGAGACTGCCTCAATAAAATAAAATAAAATAAATTAAGTGGGCTAAGGATATGGCTCAGTGGTTAAGAGCCTGTTATGGTTTGGATGTGCTGTCCCCCAAAGAAAATACAAGAAGGTTCAAAGAAGAAATGATTGGGTTATGAGAGCCTTAACCTAATCAGTGAATTACCTGATGGGATTAATTGAGTGGTAATTGGAGTGGTAGCTGGGGCTGGAAGAGGTGGGTCATCCGGGGTAGCTTTGGAGTATATATTTGTATCAGGCTAAAATGGAGTCTCTCTGCTTCTGGATGAGTCGAGTGGGCTGCTTCCCTCCCACAGAATGGAGCCTGTCTATGGAT